CATGATCAATGTTATCAGTTGTTAGAAGACAAGAAGGAAAAGATAAGAAGGAAAAGATGCTGACATTCAGACATAGGTATGAGTTGCTTGTATTTGGCAGCCACAGCTGTTGGCAATGGACAGAGCAGCTAATATTTCCCTGACAGGAGAGGATTGCTTCCCTTATCTACAGCTTTGCTTCCATCTAGTTTTAACTTTCTTAATAAGCAAGGCTCTCCCAACTTCTACTGAAAGACAATGTTCCATAGTCTAAAACTGAGCTCACTACTTTTCTTCTTTAATTTTTGCAAATGTATCCCATTTTTGATATTTACTGCATTATTAACCATAGTGATTATACCTGTTTTTTACAGTAAAAAATTTTCTGTTATTCATGGTTTCTTGGCTATAAGGAGGGAAATATTATTTTAAAGTAGGCCTGAATTCAATGATTTAGATTGAGAGAGAATCAACCTGTGAAACAGTAATAGTTGGAATTAGCAATGCTGACTCCTGCCAAGGTACTCACTGTTCCATACAATGAAGGCATATATAATACACATAGACTAGGAAAGAGCTCAGGACGTGTCCAAGGGTATTGGCTCTGCATGAGGGGGTAGCATACAGGATGACACTGACCCTACCCAGAGGCAGTAAATATGATCCATTCATTGTGAATGGAAATCACCTAGACTAACAGGCCTTAAATGTTTAAATTCAGAAATTTAAAAGAACATCAAAGAAATACTGTTTTCAAAATTAGTAGTGTTCTAGTAACTAAAGCTGTGGAGAGAAGAGGGGCTAATGACTCTCCAGTGTGAGGTTCCAGGTATAGTCTAATGCCTGTCCTGCACGCTTTTATTTATGACTGGTTTTGATTTGTTTTACTATCGTGTAAATGTTAATTTTATTAAAAAGCTTATTTACTTATGTCTTACTGATTTACTTATGTCTACTTGTGTGTAAATATATAGAAGGGGAGATTTTCTTTCAGCATACCTATTTAATTTATCTCTTGTCATGGGACAAAAGTAACCATGTAAAATGAGAGGGGCATGGGGGAAGAAACCTATTTCTAATGACCATTTTTGTCACACATAATGCTAAAACCAGAATACATATCCTAATGCAAACCAAACTTTTGTTTAGTAAGTTTTTTAATTTCTATGATTGCAAAAATAAATTTGTCTGTAATTCATAAAGCTTAATGAGTTTCTGATACTCATTTTACACTATTCACTTGAATAGTGCAAAGAGAGATGTTTATAAGATTTGATGAAATTGGCATCAAATTTTTGCACACTCATCTGAAAATCAAGCTTTAATAGACTGCAATAGCTTAAACTCCTTTGCCTTGCTAGTTGTGGTAAGACTTCAGCACTCATTGGCACCTGAGCATTTGTATCAGTGAGCACATTGATCATTCTGCACTTCACCTTCCTTTGAGGTCAGATTTGTTTTCAGACTGCTGAGCTTTTGAATCTTTCCATGACTATATAACTGTTCAATTTGGCTTGAACATCAAGAGCAAGTAGGAAGAATAAATGGGGAGCTGAGTAAGCAGTACAAGGTACAACAAAGCAGAAAAATCTCTCTTGACTATATACTTGCATTTGGATTCCCTCATCAAACTATGTGTTTCTAAAGAGATGTATTTTAAAAACTATTGGTTCTCAGCTTCCTCCAGCAGTCTTCATTCATTCCTGTTTATCTTTCAAGTACCACTCATTTCTGTTTTAGAAACCCAAATGCTCTCCTTGACTCAAGCTGTTAATTTTATGACAAATGACAAACAGCAATAGGTTTACAAGATACTTTGCATTTAGAGTATGTTTGTAGGGATACATCACAACACTGGATGTATGAATTTCAGAGTCCCATGTCTCACAGAAGTTATTAGTATGGCCAGTGCTCTTACAGCACATGATAAAGGCAAATGCACTTCTGTGTAAAAGATAGATAGATAGATAGATAGATAGATAGATAGATAGATAGATAGATAGATAGATAGACAGACAAATAAACAGATATTAACTGAACAAAATTCATATCATCCTTTATAGAAGAGTGTTAAAGTAACTTTAGCAATTTGAAAATATTACTTCAGCTATAATCATTAGTACTATCTTGGTTTGTAAGCAAAACAAATCAGCTTCTTCAATGATTATTACCTTTCTGGATCTTAACCTGTATCTGTTTTTTAAAACATGTTGTTTCCAAGACAATTAAGAACTGGATGCTAAGAACTAGCACAGAAATCTAGAACATTAAAATGAACTATTTCACAAACACAAAAGAAGAGACAGCAGAAAATCAGAGAATCTATTTAAATATTTATTTAAATATGTCAGCCTAAGGACAAATGAACTTATTACATTTCAGTAAATTAACTTATTATATTTCAATAATTGTATTTTTCCTCTCCTTTTAATTGCATCTGGGAATACAAAACATGATGAGGCTGAACCTGGCTGGATAGCAATGATGGACTGACTGGTGATAACATTTTCCAAACATGACCTTCCTTCTTCAACAGCCAGATTTACAGAAGTTCAGCCCAAGGAAACCACTACGTTTTTTGATTTATTTTCCATTGGAATGTTTCTCTTTTCTGAGAAAACCAGGCAGAAAAGAAGAGAACACCACTGACACCTTTTTAAAAAGTTCTTGCTCAGTATCTTTGTAATGAACTATTAGTTTTCTGTGGCTTTTTGTTTCTCTTTGTTCTTCAGAAGAGGAAATGAGAACCAGGGAGTTGAAGTATGCTTCCAGGCATAGTCTCCAATGAAATCCCCATGTGCTACCAGAGTATCTAAGGTAGGATTCAACTTATTCTACAGGAGAGGAAGTTTTCAGCAGAGCATTTGATTGGAAACCTTAACTCCATGAAGAATTTTCTCATGTAGCCCTTAACTGCTTTGGTCTTCTGGTCAGACTGGCCCATGCCAAACCCTGCTGTCTTTGTGGGGCTTCACTGAAGAGGATGAAGGGCCCAAACAACTCTTCTTCCTGAAATTTAAAGGTTATCAGTTTCCTCTTTCTTTTAATATGCTAACAAGTGTGTACATGCAAGGAGTGTGGTTGGAGAAAAATGTGATTTATTTTGATTCATTATTACTTTGGATTTTTATTTTAATTAATGTCAGGAGAACTTAGAATTTTAGGAAGACATTCTTTCAAGATGCATTCAGAGCAAAAGAAATAAACTGAAATTATTTTAATGGGCCTAGAATGTGAAAAAAACCCAAACATTTTGTGATGACATCAAAATAGTTAAGAAGCAGGAGGAAACAAGGTTATGTGTAATTTTTGTATTTTTCACTACTGACGCAGATCAAGGCTGAGTCCTAAAGAATGCTTCTGGCAAGTTGTCTCAGCATGGCTGCAACAGAGATGAAAGACACTGAAGCAGATGTGGGGAAAGTAAGTCTTCACTGACAAAAATAGTCTGTAATTCCTGTTTAAAATCTGGAGCTGGAGGTCATCTTGCTCATGACTGTTTGGTCAAAGGCAATGAGGACAGAGTTAGTACAGTTCAATTTTTCTAGGACTAGACTCATCATTAACTATTTTGACAAATGAGAGAGAAGTGTATTATGACAAGATCGAGGGTTAAACAGAATGGCTACAACTGCGAACAACATAATCATTTATCTTGTGACAGGAAAAGAGGGCTGTGGTAATTGCCAGGGAATAGAGTAAGTGGTGTTCTTTAATATGGGATGAACTGTTGTGTCCAATGAGAAAGGCCAGAAGCCATGGAAAGTAAGGAGGTAAGACAAATAGAGGGGTGCCAACAGCAGGTGATCAAGGAAATGGAAGTCAGTGGGACTTCTCTGCAGCCACGCAGAAGTAACCCAAGGAGAGAACTGATACCCAAAGGAAGAAAGGGCAAGGAGCAGCATGCTGACAACTACATGGGCTGTCACTAGAGGCAACAAAAAGGCTAAGTGGGAGAAGCCAAACTGCATCCCTGTATCTGGACTCTCAAAGTGACAGCAGATAAAGAGCAAGGATACAAGTGTGATAAATTTATGTGATTTGTGCCAAGTTGTACTTGAATCAATAATTTGGGAAAATAATTGGAAAAGTATATGTGATTAGTGTTATGAAGCAGATGGGTTTCTTCAAGAATACATGTGGAAAGCAGGATGCAGGAGTTGGATTCAGCCTTGGGAAAGGAGGAAGTCAGGAACTGACTCCCAAACCAAAATTGGCTTCAACTGAAGTTAGGAGACAACTCCCAGAGCAGGATTGACCTTGAATATTAATAAAATTGGGACCATTCCAGATAGGGAACATAAAATAATGGTCTTACCTATGCAATAATAAGGCTCAATTGGAACATAATGCATCAAGCTCAATGTGCATGTGCAACCTACCAGTTATTCAGAGGACAGCAAGGAAGACCTTCACCCTTCCTCCAAGAAGACCAAAGAAACAACACCCCATAGCAACAATGGGAGCATGCACCATGCAGCAGAGTGACATACATTTCAAGAATCAAAAATAAGAGCAACTATTGATGAATATGCACTAGCATACAGTGTAGAAGTTGTGTTTGGATCCTTTGTCTTTTGTACGGGTGGCAGGGTGAGAAGCCCTCCCTGTACCCCAAACTGTTTTGCTTGTGCTTTATCTGAGCCATTGCCAAATAACCCTTTGTAACCACTTCATTATATTTGATTGTATTATTATTATTTTATATCCCAATTAAAAATTGCTGCTAAATTTCAATCTTGTGATTTATGATATTGGACATATGGGCCCCATTCATAACACAAGTACAGCCTAGAGCCACACTTGTGAAGATCAGTGGCAGGAAAGCTTGAGTCTGGACAGCCATCACACGACCACAGCAGGACATGAGGCTGAGCAGGCTGACAAAGTGTTGAATCCCAGAAGATGACAGGATAATGTGTATGTCTCTAAAAACGATAGCTGGATATCAATGGAGCCAACCAAGGACCGTTTGCACTGACAAGGATTGCTGGTGTTAACACTCTGTGGGAAAGGGCGAGATGAGGCTGGAGACAGAGGGCATGTGGACGGAGGGCGGCACTCTTCCAGGACAAACAGCCTTGTTATGGTTACTGTAGATGGGCTCAACAAAGCATCACACAAGCCCACGAATGAGGGCAAGATGTGGCATGGACTGTGGGAGGAGATCAAGACCATCGAAGTTCCTTGAAGCTCTCTGAGCTATTTCCCAAAAGATCTGAAAGTACATACAGACTGTGCACAATAATAAATCTGCACAGAAAGCGAGAAACTTGTCCATGAAAAAGTACCCCCCTCCAAGTAGCACCTCTTTTTTTCTCTTTTCTCTCCTTTACGTTCTTTTTTCTTTTCTTTTCCTCTCTCTGACCCCTCACCCCCTCTAATTCATCTTTTCTCTCTTTCCTTTCACCCTGCCGCCATATCCAAAACCCGCTGCCGTGTGCTTACACAGCAGGTCAGGGCTGACAAACCAATTCCCACACCAAGTGTGCAACATGCTAATCAAACTTTCTGATTGCTTGCAGACACTCTGACTTTCGATCACGGGCATCCACCACCCGGCCCAAACCACACCGGCGGCCCCAACACCACCGCGATCGCTTCCCGCCCGCGGCGCCCCACAGCGCCCCGGGGGGCGGTGCCGCCCTGACCGGGGCCCCGCCCCTGAGCGCGGCCGGGGCGCCTGCGCGGTGCGCGCGGCGCCTGCGCGCGGGCGGCGCGCTCGGGGACCGGCCGGGCCGGGCCGGGCCGGGTCAGGCACGGTACCGCCGCCCTGCAGGGCAGCCCCGCCGCCGCTCCCGCCGCCTCCGCCTCCTCCTCGCCGCCGCCGCAGCAGCAGCAGCTGACGCTGCTCGTCATGCAGCCGGGCGGCGGCGAGGAGGGGGCGGCGGGGGTGGTGCTGCAGCCGAGCGCCGACCCGCAGCTGCCACCCTCCGCTAGCGGCGGCCTCATGGTGTTCTACGAGCTGGAGGCCCCCGGCGAGATCGAGGTGGGGGAGGAGGAGGTGGAGTTGGAGTTGGAGGCGGTGGGCGGCGAGAGCACGGCCAGCCTGGAGGAGCTGGAGGAGGAGGAGGCGGCGGCGGCGCCGGGGGCTGCGAGCGGCGAAGCGGCGGCGGGCGGCGAGTGCAAGAGCTGCACGTACGAGGGCTGCAGCGAGACCACCACGCAGGTGGTGAAGCAGCGCAAGCCCTGGATGTGCAAGCGGCACCGCAACAAGATCTACAAGGACAAGTACAAGCGCAAGAAGAGCGACCAGGCCCTGGGGGGCGGCGGGGCGGCGGCCGCGGGGGGCGGCCCGCGGGCCGAGGTGAGGCGGGGGGCGGCCAGGCCACCCCCGGGTGCCGCGCGGTGCCTCGAAGCAGGGGCTTCCTTGGAAAACTGGGTCAGGTGGCCAGAGCACAGAGAAGAAGTTTAGGGCCGCCCTACAGCTCGCTCTTCTTCCTGTTTGCACGAGCGGACTCCGTTTGTTTTCACCTCTGACGTAAATTGTAGAAGCTTACAGCTATACCAGATTCCAAGAAAAAAAAAAATATCGCCAGAAGATGCTTCGCTTGCAGCATGGTTTTTTTCCCGTGGTAGGAAAGTATAGATTTAAGAGACATGTTAGACTTGTCAGAAAGGATAGATCTTAAGAGAGATGTCAGACAGCTGGTGCTGAAGTATGGGGTTTTAAAGTCACAAAGGCCGTTGGGTATCAGGTGTACAAAAATCAGTTGTGTAGGTTCTTCGGGTTATTCTTTTTGGTTATTACTTTTACATTAAATGGCAGGTAAATATTTCAACAGCTGCTAGTTCATGCTTAGCTTGTATAAGCTAATATGTATTGTTTAGATGGGGAAATAATATTAGTGGGAAAAATGATGGTAACGTTCAATTTTTTAAATACTCTTTTTCCTACAGTTTGACTCAGCTAGGACCATACACTTCTGTGATGGTTGCTTGTATAGAGTTAGTGTTTCAGATCTTGTATTTAGATGAAACAGAAGAAGGGGAATGTTTTACACTTGAAGGTGCTGAGTGGTTTGTACTCAAAGGGTTAGGTGTAAAATAGTGATTGTCAGAAGAAAAAAAAAGTCTCACCTGGCACCCTGCTAAAAGCAACCTTTTTATGTCATCAGAGATGTGTCTGGAATCGTGTTGCTGGGAAGTGATCTAACTGCAAACTGACCACCCAAATATTTTCCTGTTTCATTTTTTTTAATATAAATATAATAGTAACCATACTAGGTATCATATGAAAGAACCTTCTTTTGTAAGTCTATAAAAGCCATGAGGCAGGTGCTTTAAAAACGGGAAGTGTACGTAATGCTGCTAGGGAATATTCTTATCTTTTGCTTTCAGTTCAGAGGACTTGCTGAGGTTTTCGTGATGTATTCTGTAACTATAAGTGATACGTGTTCCATATAGTATTTTGGATTTTTGTTGAACCCTCTGTGGCTCTAGTTACATTCTGGTAGTGTGTTCAGGTCTGCTACCTGGTGTGAATGCTCACTTTGTTTTTGAATCTTTGGTGTCAGGCTCATTTGCCAGGTAGTATTTACATTAGAATAGTGTTGACATTAGTGTTAGTGTTTACATTAGTCCTTGTGTTCTTAATACTTACTTGGAAGGCTTGCCTCTAAGTTTCTTCCTTCTCACATTGAAAAGGCATGGCATGCTTGTTTCCAAGAAAAAAGTTATGCACTTTTATAATCCTTGCTGTTTTGTGAGCCTTGTCTAATTCTAATAGCTACTTCTCTTTTCAGTGAGGTGAGAGAAGCTGTACACGTTATTCAAGGGGAGAATGAATTCTAGATTTATATTCCAGTATGACTTTCCCTCCCTTCCTTCTCTAATAATTCATCTTGCCTGATTCATGATGTGTCTATACAAATACTTGTCCTAGTTTAGAAAAGGAGACAGTATGGGAGGAGGGTAAATATGCTGCATTTCATGTAGTGATGGATTAAAACTTTTTGATCTGTAGTGTGAAATAGTGATTATTGCATATTGGAAGAGGGTGGGTTTTCTTTTACCACTTTGTGCGAGTGCAGGTTTCTTTGACTGTAAGGAAATTAGGGCCTGTACTTGCAGAAGAAAGGGTATTTATTGCTAAATTTACTTTTTTGCAGTGGTGTTTATTGAGACCAATTTCAGTAGAAATTCCTAGTAGAAGTTTCACTTTTCACTTCTGTGGACAGGATAGAAGTGAAAGATACTGGGATAGGTTTTTGTTTTTCCTGCTTTTGAACCCTTTCAGGTAGATGGAAGTATCAGTACATTTTGAATGTAATACACATAGGATTCAACATTGATTGAAATTTTCCAAACCTTTTGTATTCTCATTAGAGCAGATTGTTAAGCCACGTTGTGCTAGTCTGTCTCATTCAGATGACTGGTGATTGTACAGGCAACAGAATAAACTTGGGGGAAAAAAAAAAGCCTGTGGCTTTGGCAAGTTTAGTATAGTATTCTGAAGTATGTTTTGGTACTACAAGGATTATTGTCATTCCTGCCCAATTACAAATTGGAAATAACATTCATTTTCACAAGCTGGAGTCTGACCTTTTGTGAATTACTTCACTTTTAAGAAGTCCAATCAAATAAATTGAAGCCATTAACTAGGCCTAGTAACCCGTTCAGTTTTGCAGTATAGAAGACTAAGTCAGCTGCATTGCTTCACTCTTGCTGGTGAAATAGTGAAAGGAGGTTGAAAGAAGAGGCCAGGTCTTGACTAGACAGATTTCCATTCCTGTGCTGTTACTTTTCTCTGCAGATGTTCTTTACTCTTGGGATTTTCAGTGTATGATTGTATCAGAGTTCATAGTCTGACCTCATTTTTTTTTTTTTTTTTTTTTGTTTTCTGTCATGTGCAGGATAGTGTTGAAGGTTCAGTGTCTGTCACAAAGCAGAGGACAGGATCCATTGGAGATCGCCCAGCAAGACCTACTCTTTTAGAACAAGTATTGAATAAAAAGCGACTGGTAAGTCTTGTATTTGAGAGGTTTTGAATTCAAATAAATAAAGGCTATGTAACAGTGTTTACCTGTCACCATAGCAATAAAAGAAAATCCATTTAATAAGCATGCATTGCAAGTGCATATTTTCAAATTTGAAACATGCTTCAGAGATGCGTGCTTCAGTGTCTCTGTGAAGAATACTAAGATGACTGAATTTAATGATCTGAAGTTTTGGTAGTAACAGATTAGATGGTTTCTTTAGGGTAAATAATACAGTATAACTGAGATGATTTTAGCTTATTAGACCAAAGCCTTAGGTAGAACAATGAATGGACTTTCGGTCTGATGTAAGCTTTACTATGGTGTGTTATAGAAGTTGTAGGTATATCATATCAAAGTTAAAGTTTATGTGTGTTGATAAAACAAACTCTAAGCAAACAGTGTGATTTATATTTGCAGACTGCATAAATGGCATGTCTCAGTGTTTTTTAAACACTGGTTTCTCCTTTAACAAGTTAACCCCAATGCAGGGAAATCATTCATTACCTACAGTTTGTTCGGCTTCTTCACTACAACTTTCTTTGTTGCATGTTTTTGCAGTCCCTATTCTTCAGAAGCTCTTGGGACTGTAAAAGCTATTGGTACTGTTTGTCTTCTCTCTCTTACTTGTGCATTTAAGGCAATTTAACAATCCTCATTATAGCGCTGTAGTTCAGAATTATTATTATATCCTCATTATAGCTAGTTCAGAAATTTGGAAAGCCTTGAAAGAAACATCATGTCAGTCTTTGGTATATAACTACCTAGATGTATTTCCTGATAATTCTTTCTCAGTGATGGCACTTTTTTAGTAATTGTGTCTAAAACTCAGAGGAGTATTCATAGCTTTTCAGTTTTTATGAGGAAAACAAGTAATGAACTATGGAGTAGTTTTCATATTATATCTTGTTCTTCATGCCCCACTTACTGGCTTGCTGCCCCCTTTCCTGGCTGTTTCTATTGATGTGGCTTTTAATTAAATTTGAAAGGTATCTTATGAATGAAACATTATTTTTATAGAAGTACAGTAACCAGGAGCTCTTTCAATAGATGTTCAGAGATTTTGCACTACTTATGTCAAGGCTGTTTAAGAATTCAGAATCCCTTTCATTATTCCTGAAATTCAGATTCTCCTTGATCTGCTTCTTGCTTCTTTCTTTCTCCTCTTTGGTTGTATCACTGAAGTGACCATGGATAATAAGCAAGCATCTAGGGAATTCATTCAGCTGAAAAAAAAAAAAATAAACTCAACCTTTTCTTCTATTAATTTTTGGAAGGATCAATTCCCAACTCAATTTGCCATTTTATCTTACAATCACTTGTGCTGCCACTCATTCAGGCATGAGTGTGAACAACCAGAGTTGCGTTACAGACTGCAACTATTTAGGACAGAAGCCAGATGCAAATACGTTTAGATACTTTTGTCTTTTGATTGAATACAGAGGAGTTTTTTAACTCATTCCCTCTGGATGGACTGCTGTTTTGAAATAATGGGAAATTCTAGACAGTCAGTGAAAACCATGTTGAGTTGGAAGGGACTCACAAGGATCATTGAGTCCAACTCCCTGCTCCTCACAGGACTGCCTTAAACTAAAATACGTGCTACGGGCATAGTCCTGATGCTTGAACTATGACAGGCACATGAGCTTTGTTGCAGGATTACAGTATTTTATTAATTTATTAAACTGCTTTTGAGCTATCTGCAGTGGGAAATGTAGAAATTAGCTTAGTTGAAACACAGCTGTAGAACTGAAGCACAATTGGAAGATGTTTTGGTTGTAGTATGTCAATGGATTACTCTGTTATAGTTACAGGGGTTTTGTGATATTAAGCAACAGCAGTGGGTAATGTGCAAATTAATGTAATGGAAAAATATTACTATAGTAGCTATTCAACATATGTGAGTTTTGTAAAGTAAAATTCACTTTCTCTCTCTTTCAGTCCCTCCTCAGAAGCCCAGAAGTAGTACAGTTTCTACAGAAACAACAGCAACTGTTAAGTCAACAAGCTTTGCAACAAAGGCAGCAACAGTTTCAAGGAGCACCTGGGTAATGAGGAAAGATCAATGATCTGTGGATGAGTCTGGTGCTGAAGGAGGGACAGGATCTGTATTTTGTATAAATACAAAGAATCTCAATGTTTAAAAAAAGTTGAAGTTACTGTTGTTATGTATTTGTTTCTTGTTTGGACTTCTGAGATTTTGAGCTGCTTGGGTGTCTACAGACTTGTAAGCAAATCATAGAATGGCCTGGGTTGTGTTATGGAAACTTACCAGTCTGACCGTTTACAGGACTCTCTGACAGTCACTCTCCCAGTACCAGAGACTTCAACTTCTGGGACCAAAGCTCCTTCACTGCGGGTAGCTCCAGTGATCTGACAGGTGCACCACTTGACTCCCTGCACACCTGGCTTGCAGTCAGACCAGGTTTCCTTACTGGTTTGACCCCAGGTCTCAGACACCTTTTTCCATAAAGCAATCTATTAACAGTGTAATAACACAGAAACAGCCTGGGTTGGTGCCTCTCAGGAGGTATCTCAGACAAAGGAACTCCTGGGCTTTTATACCATCACAGTCTAAGGCAAGCCTTGCTCTTCCTCTTGAGTCTTCCCTTCTGAGTCTTCCATTCCTGCCATCTCCCTGTGTCCATTCACCTGGCGAGCCACTCACCTTCATGCCTCTTGTTATGCAAAGAGTTGGCAGTTCACTGCCTCCTTTCTTAGCTCCCACACAGAGCTCAATTTGCTCAGTCTGCATCTCCAACTGCAGCCTACAAATCAGCTACCTGCACCAGATGTATTCCTTAACAGATGGAAGGGACCTTGAAAGATCATGACGTTCCAACTCCCCTGCTGTGAACAGGGACACTTTTCATAAGACCAGGTTACTCAGAGCTTTGCCCACCCTGGAATGCTTCCCAGGGAGAGGGCATACATACACAACTTTTCTGAGCAACCTGTTCCTGTCCCTGGCTATCCTCACAGTAAAGAATTTCTTCCCAACATCTAATATAAATGTACTTCCAGTGTGAACCCATTCTCCCTTATCCTGTCCCTACATGCCCTTGTAAAAAGTCCCTTTCCCATCTTTCCTGTAGGCTCTCTTCAGGTAATGGAAGGCTACAATTAGGTCACCATGAAGCCACCTCTTTTCCAGGCTGAACAATTCCAATTCTCTCAGCCTTTCCTCATAGAAGAGGTCTTCCATCCCTCTAATCAACTTGTGACCCGTCATTGTATTTGCTGTAACAGGTGGATGTCCTTCCTATGTCAAGGGTTCCAGAGGTGGATGCAGTCTACCAGATGGGGTTTTCACCAGAGCAGAGGGGCTGTGATGAGTTGACTTTGGCTGGACATACAGATTTATAAATTTTCATTACCTTTCACAGATAGGTACTATTTTCCCATCTTAAGGGCATCCTCCACCCATTCAGATGTCCAAAATCAGGCCATGACTTGGGTTAGATTCCATCAAGATGGATGCTCAGGACAGGCGAAGCAGCACACTTACATATTGGACACCAATGTTGGCCCTGTGCCTCCCACTCTCCTTATTCATCACAATATTCATGCTTCATCAATTCATGTAATTTTTGGTGCTTTACTTTTGCAACATACAATTTACACCACAAATTATTTTCCCAACAAGGTTAAATCTCCTTGGAGCACACACTGGGTCTTCCATCCTTCTGCATTATCCACCAAGTACACCTAGGTATTTGAGCAAAGACAGTCTCATAAATAGGTTTGCCTTTTCCTATAGGGAGAGAAATTGACCCTGATTTTCCCAGCTATTTCCCATGTATAGTATGGGGACCTTATCTCCTCTCCCAGTGTGTAGGGGTTTTGTTTCGGCACGACCAGGGAGGTTTGCAGATTTGGTGTTAACCAGTCAAGTGGCTTTTGTAAAATTTATATCCCAATCCTTCCATGTCCCATTACCTAACACTCTTTACACAGTCTTCAGCAGTCCATTATACCACTCAGTCTTTCCAGAGACTTATGGGTGGTAAGGGATGTGATGTCCACTCAATACCTTGTTTCTTTTCCCAGGAGTTTATGAGGTTGTTTTGAAAAGTAGTCCCATTGTCTGATTTGATTCTCTCTGGGGTACTGTGTTGCCACAAAATGTGTCTCTCAAGACCTGAGATTGTGTCTTGAGCAGTGGCAATTGTTTACAGGGTTTGTTGCCAGCTAGCCAGTTTTACCTTTTCCATGGTGAATATATACCATGTATTTGGCATGTTCATGGCAGTGGTCCAGTTTGCCAGGCCTCACCATACTGGAAACCCAGCCGCTGACCTCTGTTCCAGGGAAAGTTTACTTCAGTAGCTTGGTTGATTGCAGCACATGCTTTTCATTCATGAATGGTCTGTGCAATGGCTTCCATGGTCAGGTCCATCCCTCAGTGATGAGCTCATCTGTCTGTTGCAGCTGATGTTTCATGGCCCCATCAGGTTATAAATAGCTCACCCTTCCACTCCCAGTCCAAGTGTACCTAAGTTAATTCAGTTTTGGCAGCCTTATTTACCTGTTCTACAGTGGTGTAGTTTTTGGGCATGTGAACATCTCCCTGATATACCTTTCTGGTCATGTTTTCAACATGTGCACTGATGTCCTGCCCCAATGCAGGTGCAGTCCAGCCCAGATGGGTTTATCCCTTGGTTGCCAATTGGTTTTCCATTTTTGCATCCACCTCCAATAGGGCATTAGCCACCATCCAGGAGTCAGGATAGAGACAGGTCACTTTTCTCATTCAGCAATCTCTAGGGCTAGTTCAGGTGGCTTTCACCTCTGCAAAGTGGCTTGACTCGCCTTCAGCAGCCTCAATGACTTGTCTGCCTTTGATGGTTTCCTGCCACACAGCAGGATCCATCACTAAATAGGGCATAGCCTCTTTCATCTTCTGGAAACTCCTTATGTGGGGGTGCTTCTCGTACACAAAGCTCCTTCTCTGGCAATGCTCCAAAATCTTTGCCTTCTGGCCAGTCCATGATTTTTCCAGAATTCCCAACTGAGCTCATGTAATCAATCATCTTACTCCATGTAGCACTGACTGCATGATCTGTTACGGTGATGTTTCCTTTGAAATCTGGGGAAGTCTTTTCCAATTATTTGTAAACCTTCATTTCAATATTTAATCTGTTAATAAAAATTTGTTTATGGTAGCAGTGTTTAGTTGTACACCCTTTTCTACCAAAATTGTAATAAATGAGCATTTTTCTATATAAACATTTACAGTTCAGTCTGTCTTTGATGACAATCATTGATGGAAGTCAGTTACTTTCTGTGGACATTGTGAAACAAAGTTCTGAAGTTGAGCCAGTCCAGTAGCATTACCTAACAGCAATTGCTCAGAGATATGAGAAATTTATGTCCTGTAGAATCTTGCACTAAAGGTAAAGACAATGTACCATCAGGAAGTCAATCCAGCAGTTCAGAAAAGTACAAATAGGTGCTGCGTTTATTACCTGCAAGTTGAGTAGGTTTGAAATGCATGCATAGCATGTAAAAAAATTTGCATTTCAAAGTTCCTAAAGTGATAAATGGCAAAAAGCTTTAAAAAGTATCAGGTGAAAAGTATGAAACTGAGAGCTGGACCTTGTTACATGGAGTTATTTGAAATTACTAACTTCTTATATGTGAAATATAACATAATTACAGATTAGAATACCACTAATTTTTAAGTGACTAAATTAAATTAAATTTTAAAGCTTTTAACTCATAATAGTAAATAATTCAAAATCTAATCTTTTTCTTCTCAAAAAGGTATAGTTAAAATTCTTTTATTAAGACAACAGATCTCTAATCAGCTGCAGTGCTAGACTTTGCAGGTTTTCAGACAATTAAAATGAACTTGAAATTGATTGGGTTAAGAATCCAAACACTATATTATGTGTTAAATCCCATGTTTTATTTATAAAAATATTTTTGTATTAAGCCACATTTCTGAATAGAGGTTATCCAAATGGGTTAGGTGCTTATTGTCAAGTACTACTTTTATATTGCAGCAGTTTGATCCACTAAATAGTATCTCTTCAGCAGTATTTGTTAGTTTTATGGATTTTTACAAGCTCTGCTTTTTGTATGTACAGAACTTATTCTGTAGAGATTTATTGTATTTAGCACTGTGCAAATTGTTCTTTTAAAAAAAAACTTGAAAAACTTTATATAAACAGTTCTGGACCAATACATGTGTAAAATCTTTGGTTTTTCTTTAAAAACAAGTCTGTTCTTTTCTGTTTTGTTAAATTTATATGAGTTTTTCTTCCTCTGCTAAAACAGCCAGTTCTGACTAAATGCATTTTGTGTTTCAAGCTCTTGTTATAGCAAGTTATTTTAGATTTAAGCATAATCAGGTTACTTTTCAGTGCATAAGAATATATGTGAAAATGTAATTGGCAAAAATTGTAGAATAATGTATTTGATTTTGTTTTAAATGGTTAAAATTTAAAAGGTGAACAGCTCATTTGGGTGGACAGTTCTGTCTAAACCTTTTAAAACCCAAATCCTCAGGGCAGAAAATTGGCACAGGGAGTGTTTGTTAAGACAGTGCTGAACAAGTTGTCTATGTCAAAACAAATGGCAGTTGCTGAAGCTATGCATAGAGATGTTCAGTAGAGTGCAGCTCACCTATCCTGTATTTTTGTAGTCTGTGATAGCAGCACCATCAGGCTGGTGCAGACAGTGGAAGATGTGCTGGTAGCATTGCTCTCCTGTTTGGTCAGAAGATTGGATGGGATTCCCAAGCCAGCACTGTCTGTGTAGCTCTGAGGCCCATTATGTTGTCTACTCCCTTCTGTTATTGCAGAACAAAATCTGAATTTTAGATAGATGGAAACATGACACTTCTATAAGAGTACATTCTTACTATATCCTTCTTTGTCCTTGAGCAGTTCAAGAACTGCACAGCTGCAAGTCTATCCTTCCACTAACTTCAGTCTGGTCCAGGGGCTTCTGTCACAGAGCAGCATCACTGTTCATTGACTGCCTGTCAGATCAGAGCTGTCCCCATCAAAAGAAAGCTGAACCATCCTCTTGAATCATCGAATCTATCACAGAATAGTGAGGGATTCATATACTATACATGGAGATTTTATGCAGAATTAATTTTCAGTACATTTTCTTTTGTCAAGCGTCCCATTACTTACTTAGTGCAATTACTGATTCCTCTTGCCTAAGACTGATTTGTATGAATAAAGGCTTTCTAAATGCTCCAGTTCCCAAAATCACTTGTGGTCATATCAGGACCTACAGCCAATCTCTTTAAAAGAGAAGAATGGGAGACAACAAGGGAAGGAGCTCTTGAAACAGAAATAACTTTATTAACATTAAAACACAAGACGTGAATAGTCCCTTTTACAATAGGATAATTCTGGCCAAAGAAAGTGGAGTGCATTAAAAAGTTGTTTTATTGTTCAGAATAAATGTGTTGTCTTCAGAATGCCTCAAATCAAAGGTAGCAGGAGGAATGCTTGTGAAAGTGTCCCCTTGGTTAGCAGTCGTTCCATCTTTCTTGGTACGACATGGAGTGGAATAGAGTACTCTGGGGCTGGTTGGAGGACTCCGAGCTGCCCAGATCCCTCGCACTCCTGAAGCTATGTCTGTGATTTTTCATTCTTCAGAGGCAAGAGCCCAAGTATTGTTCTTTATACAGCGACCTATGCCGGTTTACAGAATGTCACAAACCATGAGTAATACTTGTGGATAGTTCAGATGTTTTGCTTTGCTTCTGATGAAAAACAGAGGGCAGAGTTATTCATAGACATAAGTGACTTCTGTTAATCTATGAATGACTCACAGTGCTTTTATCATAAGATTGATAGGTCATAGTTGACACAACCCCATAGTTAACACTCCTTGATCAAATCCACCATTTTAGCCCTCTGCATAGAGCTTTGCAACTTAACTGCTTCATTGATCCACACAAAAAGGCCTGTTTCTTCACTTTCTTGTCTCACTTCTCAACACCACTTATATTACAGAGGTGACATGAAATGAAGACTTAAATTGCTAACACCAACTTATCTGCAGAAAGGCTGTGGTACATTTAACTTGTACTTTAAAAGTATTATAAATAATTAAAAACTCCAATTGCTTGAGTAAGTAAAGAAAATTTATCTGAATGCACGTTATCTCTGCTCATCATTATGTTTGTTCCCTTGCTCTTGTTTGCAAAGCTTCCCATGGATATAACTGAATTATTAAGACAACACACACTTTAGCATCAAATAAACCACTTTGAAATATGATGTGCTCACTCACTACTATGACAGTGCAAGGGGTCAGATTTTACCAAGTTTTCTCTAGCTTTTCTTTGCTGATGAGGTCTGTATTTAAAATTATTAACTGGTTGGTCTATTTCACCCTATGCTATTCATATGCAATATTATTTGAATACTAACACAGAATATAAAATAGCAGCATCCAAGGATAATAAAAACACTATGACGATCTAAAATGTGTTCACAATTAGCTGCAATGTTCACATTGACTGTAATGGAAGAGTAGCTGATTCTGGAGGACATAGTGGTTACGTCTACCTTGCATGAGAGACATGGCCTGCAAATTAGAATTGTTATCTATACAGGCACCAAGTTTGCAAGCATGGCCCAGGTGCAAGCGGAGGTGTCCTCTTGCTGGGATTCTCATGTACCTAACCTCCCTGGCAGAGAAATGTGGCCTCAGTATGGCAATGTAGTGTAAGGCATGCCTAGGCAGGGTGTCTGGAAAGCTCTAGGGTGAACATGTAACAGGATTCTGTCTGTTCCTGGCTGTTCCGGAGCTTCCTATGGATAGATGATGGGTAAAAACAAAAGGCTGTGTTCTGTGCTGGTCCCCAACATGCAGAAGTGTGTCTGTCCTAGAGACACAAAGTGCTTTCTCTTAACTGAACAAAGACTAAATGCCCACTCAGGCTTCCTGTATCTTGCAGAAAGGTACTCATGGAGCTGCCATGAGGAACAAGCCCTGTTTCAGTGGGCTGAATGAAGCCTCCAGGTTGAGAACTTAATTCACAGATCTAAAGTCTCGCAGAATCTCTCTATTTGCTGCAAGACAGGACTAACTCTGTCCAGCTCTTTTTTCACGGTAACTTGACATCTTAATTGCTCTTAGGGAAGCACACTTGTCCATCCTTACGCACTGTTAAGAGCCTGATTTCATAGTCAGGAGTTCTCATGAAGGTTCCTGCTGACTGTTTTCCTTTGGACACTGCAATTTCCCACCTGCTCTTGAAATGAGCTGGTTTGTCGCAATTCCCAGGTTAGATGCTCTCTCACTATATAGTCCACATTTTCAGTTCTGCAGTTTCTGTTCAGACTGCATCTTTCTTTGAGGAGCATGTACTGGATGTGTTTATAGTGTCCTTGAACAGTGACCCAGAGCTGAGTTCCTCATGAGTCTTGTGGCAAGGCAGAGGGTAATCTTCCAAGTGTGGTTCTCAAATGCAACCAGAGCTCACTCTCTGGAGCACATGGGACACCACTTGCCTCACTGTATCAAATGGCTTAATCAGGAAGCTGGCACACTGTCCCAGGCTGGGTGTATAGGAAAAACCCAAGTAAGGATTGTGGTACTTCAAGCTGCTCTTAAAACAGGCCTTGAATGGCTGCCTGAGCATGTACTGCCTTGATACCTCCAGCGATGACCACTGGGCTTATCTGCTTGTATGCTCCCTCCTCCTCCTCAGTTTCTTCACTATCTCAGTGCATTTCTGGCTAGTGGAACACCCATAAACTGTAAATCCCCTATAAAAATTTTCTCAGCCCCTTCAGTGGGGTCTCCAGTCAAAAGGGGTTGGGTTCAGATGTTGAAGTAACAGCCTGTTCTCCAGGTTTCTCCAGAGCAAGGAAGTCTTGTTGCTGGCTTGGTGGGTATCTGGGACATCATTGTTATCAAATAGTTTGGGTTAGAAGTGACCCTTAAAGATGATCAAGTCCCAACCTCCTGCCATGGGCAGGGACACCCTCCTGTAGACCAGGTTACTCAAAGCCCCATCCAACCTGGCCTTGAACAATTCCGAGGATGGGGCATCCACAGCATCTCTGGGACAGCTTTTTCTGTGCCAGTGTCTCCCCACCCTTACAATAAAGAATTTCTGCCTAATATCTTAACAAAAACTACGCTCTTTCAGTAAAGCCAATACCCACATGTCCTATAAAATACATGGCCCTCTCGTCATATAAATCTACATTTTAGGCAGCACTTCTCAACTTTGAAAAATGGTATTTAATTACCTTATGACTCATTGATCTTTTTTTGTTGTGTTTGATTTTGCTTGTACTAGGTTAGGTTATGGGGAACCAGGGCAAGAGGTGAATAGTACAGAGGATGTAACGTTTCTTTCCTTTGATGAGCACCATGTAGTGCTAAAGTATTCCTAAAAGTTATAGTTGTAACATAGCAGCCTTGATCTAAGAACATTAGTCTTATACTTGATACCCCTTTAAAGTTCCTAAATTGATCAGGCTTTTTTATTAATTGTTTTCATGCAGTCAAGAAGCAAAGTCTCTGCCTGAGCTGCCTCTGTAAATCCAGCTGTTTGTGCAACTCCTTAGTCACTAGTGAGATTCATTTGGAGAGCTGATAGACAAAGGTGGGTGTTCAAAGTCAGGAAGAACAAGGGCAGATTAAATAAGGTTACAGTCACAAATGCCTTGTTTTCTGCATTTTAAGAGGGGTGTGGTAAGATGACGTTTACAGCGAGAAATGTTTGGAGCGCTGATTTTATGCTGAGAGAACACTAATATGAAATAACTAAGGAGAAACATGTTTCATCCTGAAAGTGCTAACAGGAAGCTCCTTCCTGTGGCAACTAGCTATCACTGAATCTTCAACAAGACCCAGAGGATAATGCATATTGGAAGGGATCTCACCATGACATCAAGTCTCAGACCCCGTTCCAGACAGGGACTGCTTGGAGAAGGCTGCTCAGGGCAGTGAAAGTCTTGACACAGTACCTGCTGGAGACATGGAAGGGATTTTCTCAACTCCAGCTGATGCTACTTTGGGCCAGAGCTGCCCTTTATGTTTCTGATCCATTACCCTTCAGTCTGAGCTCAAGGAAGCATTCTGATGAGGAGTAAACACGGTGGAATAGCTGCTGATGGGGAGGGCATGCACGTGCTGCACCTTGCAATGCTACAGCCACTGCTGGGCTGTACCTGGGCAGCTTTCTCTAGGCAAGGG